GAACCTACTGTACCTGACTCCCAAAAGATAGAGACCCCACAGGGATTGTGAATGCCAGGCTGTATGGGCCAACAGCTTCAGCACATTATACTTTCAGAATGGCAACAATAACAGACTGAGTTTTTATGGAGAACAAAACTGACAAAAAAGTCAAAAATGGTGCTTGAACTCTTCTGAATTCATTTTGTACAGCCAAATTACAATACATGCAGCATAGAGAGCTGTATAAAAGAATCTAGTGCAATACAAATGACAGTACTGTGTAAGATGTCATTACTAAGTGTAATACTAGTATAAAGAGCCATTTATACAGTATTTAGAACTACCTCTACGTGGATATTTCATTAATAAATTGCATTTATTGTGGTATTTTATGATATAATTCCCATATATTCTACTTTTATTCCTTAGGCTGATAAAAAGGATCCCCAGGGAAATGCATCTGTCTCTGGCTTTGAGGTTTTGCTTCAGAAACAACTAAAGGGCAAACAAATGCAGAAAGAAATGGCAGAATTCATCCGGGAAAGGTAAATGTGCAATTAGAAATGGATAATCGTGTATTTTGTACTGTGAGAAGAGAAGTGCCTGTAGCACTTAACAGATTAGAAAAATATACAACTTACTACATCTTTCTATACTTTTCTTACACACATGCATAGACGTTTTGCAATAAACTCTTACATCTTTGAGATATTTTTGTATTGAAAAGAACGGTTAGTCATATCCCGTGCACTTCCAGTTACTTAATGCATACATGTTGCAAAACCTAATTTACGCATTGTGTTAGTGACTTTGTTGCTATGTTAACGATTTCATTAAAATTAGTTTCCTAGTTGATTTCTCAATGCAAGCGGCCTGAACGTGCACAGGGGAAGCAGGCTGATATTGCGCAAAGCTGAAAAATAAAAATAGCCTTTCGTTAAAACTCCTTAGTCAAAGAGCAACACATTTAACTCTGAAAAGTACAGTATATTACTGTTGTAACAAGCTGAATTCAGTTTTTTCCAGTGGACTTTTTGCTTTGGGTACAATTACTGAAGTATGCTTCATACGAAGGCTTTTAGAAGCAGTTTTTACTGGAATGCTACTTACTGTAGCATGTCAGATGATTTTCTTGTAGAGAAAAATGACAATGCAAAAGAGGATTTTCAGTGCTTTATTTGCTTAATTCTCCAAATATATTTTTTTATCAAAAAGATAAATTATATTTTTAACAAAAGTTAGAGAGGAGGTCAAATTGTAATCTCATGCTTCTGTTCTGATATAAATATATTTTTAAGTATAAATACTAGCTGGCTGCCCACATCTTTGCACACATCTTTCTAGCACCCCTCACTCCTGCCCCACTGCACCCTTGCAGCTGCCACCCTGGTTTATTACTTGTACATGAGGGGGTTTCTAACTGCAATGATCTTTGGTTAGCACTGTGATTTCCTCAGCTAGGCAAGTTAACACCAAAGTTTTGCTATCCCTTTGTATAGTGTATTTGTTGGCTTGATTTATTGTTATTACAATTTGACTGAATTATTGAAAAGATGTACAGTAAGCGTATAAACTAAATAGCTAACATTACTTATTGTTAAACTTGACGCAGTGTTATTTGTGCCTCTTGTGTATCTATTGAGCAAAAAAATATTGTTAATTGTGTTTCTCTTGAGCCAACAATACCTGTATGGGTATATTTAAATAAAGATTTAAGCACATTATGGTTATTAAAATTAAATGATAAGGTTTTTTTTTTTAATTCCCATCAAAACAATAGGGTTTATGCACTGCATATAACTACACATTATTCAAATGCTGGTGGCCTTTTCATTGCATTGAAACCACATATAAGAAGTCTTAAATAAAATTGGTTCAAGCTACCTGAAAAATCCTTTATTTCTTTTTGGGTCCAAAGTCAAATTTTTATGCAACCCATTGATTGGGCTGCAGAGTTTAAGTGGTATTTTCTTTTTATTACAGAATAAAAATTGAAGAGGAATATGCAAAGAATCTTTCAAAGCTTTCTCAGATTCCACTGGCTGCGCAAGAAGAGGGGTAGGTTTTTAAAAACGACATACTGTATCTAAACCTGCAAAATGAATACTTAAATCACTTTGCATTCTCAGCTTCCATGACTCTCACTTACAGTAGCTGATTTCTAAACATAGATCACACATTCAGGGACACTCATTATCACATAAGTGCTACAGTAGGTTTCTTGTAATTTAAAGTGTTAAAATGCTGGTTAAGAATGTATTCTTGAAATTTAAATTGAATGCAAGCACCTAAATAACAAAAAAAGTTCACAACTGTGTAAAAGGGTTGTCTCCTAACATTGTTCAGATGCTTACACTATAAAAAAGCCCTTTGTAGCTGACTTAGATACAGTAATAGATCAGAAATGTAATTAACTATTCTTAATATAGGAGATAATCATCAATGGGAATTTTTGATTCCATCTACAATTGCAATAGTGATGTACTGTATGAGCTCAGTCTATATCTGGCCCATGAAAACATTTGCAGCTCTGTGGGAGTAAAGTCAATTATTGTTTTATAATGCAGGCTATGATTTCATACCTAGCCTTTATGTAAGGTACCAGTTACCTGTAAAAGTGCCATACAGTGTACCCATGAAAGTGCTTTGCATTGAAACACATGCCTTATTAATATGCCAAAGTGAACTGGCAGTGTTTGGAAACAGGATTTTTAGAAGACCATTCCATAATGCAAAAAAAGTTGAAAAGTTATATAACTAAGTTCCGTTTTAATGTTCACTTAAATACAGATTTATAATTTACAATGAAAAGTTGCCTTTTCTTCAGAAACAACATGCATGGCTCAGTGCTGTTTGTGTCTGGTGAGTATCTTTCATAGATCATGCATTAGTCTTAGTTGAGTTACAGTAACTGTAAATATATACAGTATGTTGAGGACATAAAAGGTATACTGTATATTGTAAAATTTGCTGAACTTCTCTTAACACATTATCATATGCCTGTAAAAGCATTCTGTTCTCTAATTAACAATCCTCAATTGATGTAACCTTAATTCTTGTACATAAAAGAGTGGAAATATCTGTTTTGTAAAAGGGAAATAATTTAACTTACAGTATGCAATGGGGTTCTTAGATCTTTGTGGTTCTCCCTTCAGTCTGTTTTTTTGGTGAGCATTTTTATAGAGCTGGGCAAATAAGATGGAGACACTCTCTCCTGGGAAACTATATCCTGTGTAGTGGTTTAGTCATGTGTGCTCTATCTGTGTGTGGACTGTACTTGTTAAGGTCTGCAACTCAGCCAGCACTAAAAATGCTTGGATTGATTATTGCCTTGGAAGCCTCCTTCATGTAACACCATTGAAGCCCACAGCTACTTTTATATAAAAAGCATAATAGTGACATAAGTCAGAACTCTTAAAACCTGGACAGAAATGTGTATTCATTGCACTGTTCTATTTGATCTGTTATGGGAAATTTTGGTTTGATCACTGCACCTAGAGATTCTACTTTGCAAGTTTTGTTGGTTTCAGAGTTTGCTTGCTCTGCTGAAGCAGAAAAGATGTATTGTTTCTTGCAGCCTCCAGATGATTCCACAAAGGTCCACCCACCCCTTCCAGAGGCATTTAAAAGAGTACAATACTTGTATTATGTAGTCATGTCAGTCCTTTTGTTACTGTATGCTGTTGATCCACCCCTGATGATTGTTTTGGTAGCTGGTACCTACTCTCATGTTCAGAATTTTGTGATTCTTCTGTATAAAAGGCATTGCTATCAAAGCTCATTTGGTACTATTTGTACCCCATAGAGT